CTCCGGCGGCCGCAGCGAGGGGGGCGAGGGGAGTGAACAGATTGGCAAGAACTGGAGGGTGGAATAAAATGGGGGGGCAGAGAGAGAGAGGGGGTACCAAAAAAACAATGACAACAATTTAAAAAATACATATCTATAGCGCAGCACGTCTGGCTCGGAACGCCAACCACTTGCCAAGGCCGCTGGGCAGCCCACGGGCCAGGGTTCCAGCCAGGTCCCTCCGGGCCTCGCACGCAGTTCGGGTGGCGGAGGGAGCTGGCGGTGGGAGGGAGGGGACCGGGCACAGGACGGTGGAGAGAGGGTTAGGGGAAGGGAGACGCACGAGGCAGGCTGAGGGGAGGTGCCCACCCTCCCTGGGCCGCGGGCTGGGGGTTCAAAAGAGGGGCCAGCTATGGGCTTTGGAATTAGGGCTCCCACCCGCTCCCTTTCCCCCTCCCTGACAGGTGTAATCTAAGCTTAAATAAACCCCCCCGGAGGCTGCACAACTTGTTGGCATCTCTCCCCTGCCCTCCCCATCCGCATATTCATTTTGGAGTTTGGAGAAGCATCCAGAACCTTCTCTCACCCCAAAATGTCCAGCAGAGCCCCCATCCCCCCCACCTCGGAGCTGCGGCTTGCTGAACCGTTGAGATGTCTGACACTGTCGGGGTTCCCCACCTAGTGCTTCAGCCAGATCACCTCACTTTTAAGTTTCCTTCCCCACCCTCCTCTGCCCTCACCCCTGCCTCCTCCCCGAATCCCCTTTTTTGGTTTTTGAGTTTCTGCCTCTTCCTGCCTGGGGGAGGGGTCGTCTCCTGGTTGCTTTGACGGTTTTTGAGTTGTTTTTCCATGCGAATCGGGGTTTGAAGCGACCACCCCCCCCACAGCCTGCCACCCACCACCCACCCTCCCGACCCCCTCGCCCACGTGAGTCCCCCCCACCCCCCGCTGGGACCCCCGGCTACTCGGTGACGAGAAGAGCTGGAAACCAGAACCAGCTGGAGCGTGCTGAGGACCAAGGCTGGTGTGGTCCCCTTATAACCCGCCTGGACCCTCCATTCAGGTCGGTAATTGGGGGCGGGGGTCCCGCGGGGCCTCTCCGTCCCGTGGGCTCCGTGCCCACCTTAACTTTCTAACCCCGCACCTCAAGCTTGCAGCCGGGGGTGGAAAGATGATGTGGGTGGGTGTCAGCACCAAACCGGGTAGAACACAGTGTCAGCCGCCTGCCCTTGTCAGCTGGGAGGATGTCTGGGGGCCTTCCAAGGCCCCCAAAGGGAGCCCGAGCCACCTTGTGCCCATGGGCATGGTCCTCCTCAAACTCGTGGCAAACCAGCCCTCTTCCTACAGCACCCCCTTAGGAAGAAATGATGTGGGTGAGAAAGCGAGTGGGCGACGTTTTTTAGGTGTTGGAGAAGCCTTTATAGTTTATTGGCAGGTCCGTTTAACTGATGGCTGCTGGCCATGTTGGGGATTATGAGCACTGAAATTACTGTTGGTGATAAATGCCCTCCCACATTGAACTGACTTATAGTTGACAACCGTATACAGCACGTCTTTTACATATTCAAGATATATCCCTTGTGTCTACTTCTAAAAACAGTTTGTGGTACCTTCCAAATTATGACATCCCTAAGGGGAGAGATTTCAAGATAAGATCAGACATGAACAGGGTCTTTTGGATGAGATGTTGGCCCTTACAGAAGAAATTGGCCTGACATTTAACCTTAAGATCCTAAAGCTAATCTTACTACTCCCTTTGATGTTCCAATAATTCTTTTAGATATGAACCTTTTACTGATGGTTTCTGGACATTCATTATGATGGCTATTGGACATTCAACTGGTGGTTCCTGGCCATTAATTCAGTTGATGAAATTACATATAAGTGATGGGCGTTTTTGCCCTCTTTCGAGCCCCCAGTGGGTCAGGACATGTTTGAAAGAGCCAGAAGCCAAGCATTGACACCTGGCTGTAGTCCGTCCTCACCATGGTGAGCAAAGGCTTGTTCTATCTGAGAGGCAGGGACCAGGTGGGCCTGGCTTTGAGCTCTGGCCACACCACTGCCTTCCTTTGTCATTTCCAGCTAGTCCCTGACCTCTGTTCCCTCATCTGCAAAACAAGCATCAGGTTATTTGCTTCTCAAAATTGTTGGGAGGGAGAAAGCAAGGTGGAGATTCAGTAGAAATTCTTATCGTTTGCCCCATCCCTGCACGGTGTCAATTGGACTGACGCCCTTCTCGGGTCACCTGATTACATCCATTTTACAGATGAGGAAACTGAGGCTCCTCAGTTGGGGATGGGGGGTGCTTCCCAAGGCCACAGGGCTTATTCGGCCACCTCAGCTTCTCCGTGTCTGTCTGGAGAGGTTTTCTAGAGGACTCCGAGTCCCTGGGGAGCTGTTCTTGAGCTATAGGACCTGGAGTTTGCCCAGCCCTGAGCGGGGCTTTAGGGAGAGAGGGTCAAGTGCGGCTGGGCTGGTTTGTTCCAAAGGTTCTTTCTCCACGAGGAGCCTGCCCCTGTGGCCACCTCCCACCCTCGCCGGAGGCTCCGGGTGCGGTGGCCGGACCCTGTGTTCTGCCGGTGGGCGGGGGACAAGAGCACCTCCCTGGGGAAGCCACGCCCCTCTTCCTTTCAGACCCCGATTTCAGCCCCACACCCATTCCATGACTTTTTTTTTTTTTTTTAACTTCTTGCATTTGGGTGTTTTTCGTTTCAGAGGGGTTAATTTTTGTTTGTATTTTAGGTTCTTTTTTTTCTCCCCTTTTTTGCTTTATATTTTCATTTGTCCTTCCTGGTTTTGTTTTGGATGTCGATGCCGTTTTTTTCTGTCCTTGAATAATAATTAGCCTCC